AAGTAAGTAAGTAAGTAAGTAAGTAAGTAAGTAAGTAAGTAAGTAAGTAAGTAAGTAAGTAAGTAAGTAAGTAAGTATGAATGTATGTATGTATGTATGTATGTATGTATGTATGTATGTATGTATGTATGTATGTATGTAGGTAGATATATATGAATAAAAATAAACAACTAAAAATAAATTAAAATAAATATGTAGGTAAAAGATAAAAAATAATTAAATTATTAAAATAATTAACAAAATACCACAATAAAGATAATTTACATAAGACACAATTAAATACCTTAACAACAGAGTTACCACGAACACGTCAGGTAGGGGGGGGAAGGAGGGGAGGGAAGAGGAGGGGGGGAAGAGGAGGGGGGAGGGAAGAGGGGAGGGGAGGGAAGAGGAGGGGGAGGAAGAGGAGGGGGAGGGAAGGAGGGGGGAGGAAGAGAGGGGAAAGGAGGGGGGGAGGGAAGAGGAGGGGAAGGAGGGGGGAGGAAGAGGAGGGGGAGGGAAGAGGAGGGGAAAGGAGGGGGAGGGGAAGAGGAGGGGAAAGGAGGAGGAAAAGAAGGAGAGAGGAAGAGAGGAGGAGAAGGGAAGAAGAGGAGGACAAAAGGGGAGCAAGAGAAGGGAGGAGGAGGGAAGGAGAGGAGGCGAAGGCTGGAAGAGAAGAAAGCGGAAGAGAAAATTAAGGAGGTGGTCAGCAGCTAAAATCTGAATCGGTAATGAGGTCAGGCAATAAGTGGACCACCTAACTACCACTTAGTACCACCTTAAGTGTCCAGGGCTAATTGTGACAACCAGCAGCATATTTTCTGCCTTAAACTAGTTCTTATATTCGTGGGGGTAGGGGGGTAGGTGAAGGGTGGGGTAGGTGAAGGGTGTGGGCAGGTGAGGGAGAAGAGGGGGTGGGTTATGTGGCATTGTTCGTCCTGGGATTAAAATGGACGAGGTTTAATTTATTATTATTATTATTATTATTTTTTAGCTGGGGGATAGGCAAGTGTTCTAGTTAGTCCTGGGAAAAAACTATATATATATATATGAGAGAGAGAGAGAGAGAGAGAGAGAGAGAGATTACTAACACACACACACAACTGCATCATAATTCACCAATATTTTTTTCCTTTTCAAATACTTATTTATTTCAACAGCTGAGGAAATGCCACACAGTACACCTCAACTATCATATTACCCAGAGGTGTGTGTGTGTGTGTGTAAGTTATGGTAACAACAGGAAATAAGTGTTAATGAGAGAGAAGGGTTGAGGGAGGCTTGACTAACAGGGTACGACACGGTCTCCCTCCCTAGCCTCAGTGCCACCACCACCACCACCGCCTTCGTCAGCCACCCAGACCGGATGCTCACACCTGCGACGCCAGAGAGAGAGAGAGAGAGAGAGAGAGAGAGAGAGAGAGAGAGAGAGAGAGAGAGAGAGAGAGAGAGAGAGAGAGAGAGAGAGGGAGAAATTTCACCCTCTAACTCAATAACCTGAGGATAAAGCTTAAAATGTGAGTTAACAATCTCAGGTCAGGTTAATGTTAAAGTTAGGTCAGGTTAATTTAAGTATAAGATTTGATCAGGTTAATGCCATTGTTGTCAGTCAAAGCAGCGACGCACCAGTGCAGTTGGCGAGTTGTCCGGTCTTCTGGGACTATTCCTTAACACTGGGTCATGCAACTCGTTAACTTAGGGTGTGGTTGTTGTGTTGGCGACAGATTCAACACCTTAAACTAATTCACGACAGGTGGCCCTTGGACCGGCCATCCACCAACACCAGGGGCACCGATTATTATTTTAGTGTGTGTGTGTGTGTGTGTGTGTGTGTGTGTGTGTGTGTGTGTGTACAGTGTCTGGGTTTGATACAGTTTTACTCACAAGAAGGAAGGAAAGAAGGAAGGAGAAGGATTGAGGTGGTCATACTAGAGAAGGAAGGAAGAGAGAGAGAGGGGCAGGTATAGCTGTAGAGTGTGAGGAGGAGGGGCTGTGAGGGGGGGGTATGGGGAGGGTAGTACAGGTGCACGGACACAATGGGTGAACCAAGCTAGCTACCTTGTACCTCATTAACGAGAGGCTAACTCAGCGCCACACTCTCCCTCCCTAAATATACGACGACAACATTATTATTTTCTACCTTACTTATAAATTCATATATACATTACTCCTTCTGTACCTTTTTTTTTGCCTCCGTGCCGTCTCCAACACACAGGTACAGTCTCCAACACACAGGTACAGTCTCCAACACACAGGTACAGTCTCCAACACACAGGTACCGTCTCCAACACACAGGTACAGTCTCCAACACACAGGTACCGTCTCCAACACACAGGTACAGTCTCCAACACACAGGTACAGTCTCCAACACACAGGTACAGTCTCCAACACACAGGTACAGTCTCCAACACACAGGTACAGTCTCCAACACACAGGTACCGTCTCCAACACACAGGTACCGTCTCCAACACACAGGTACCGTCTCCAACACACAGGTACAGTCTCCAACACACAGGTACAGTCTCCAACACACAGGTACCGTCTCCAACACACAGGTACAGTCTCCAACACACAGGTACAGTCTCCAACACACAGTACACCAGCCAGTTAGCACACAGTATACCTTTACTATCCCCCAGCTTAATTTACCTGAAGATTAATCACCCAAATGCTATACCTTGTGGGTGTTTAGGATAGGTAAGTTTAATCTTCAGGTAAAATAAGCTGGGATGTTTAATCTTCAGGTAAAATAAGCTGGGGTGTTTAATCTTCAGGTAAAATAAGCTGGGGTGTTTAATCTTCAGGTAAAATAAGCTGGGGTGTTTAATCTTCAGGTAAAATAAGCTGGGGTGTTTAATCTTCAGGTAAAATAAGCTGGGGTGTTTAATCTTCAGGTAAAATAAGCTGGGGGGTATCTAATTTTTATGTGATCCAAATAGGTAGTAATCAAACAGGGAGGTACTACCGCCTGGGAAGATATTGGAAGCATAATGTGTTGTGTAATGGTGGACCCTGCTGCCATATGTGACCAAGTCCCAGGTTGTTGATCTGACTTTCTGCCTCATTTACACACAATTGCAGGGTCTCAATTGTTTCTCTTATTATTGGCAACACAACATACATATATTGTTCCTCACTCTTGACCTGTTTTTTTAATTTTCGTATTTTTTATTATTATTATTATTATTATTATTATTATTATTATTATTATTATTATTATTGTTATTATTAAATTTTTGCTTCTCCCCTATGTGGGTCAGTGCCCGGGTGAGTTAATCCCTGTAAAAAATAAATGAATAGGTAAAAAAATAAAAAATAAAAAGTAAATGGTTGTGCAGGAAATTCATTGGTGTGCTTGCAAGCAGGATACGAGGCAGCGCATGTAGTGAGTCTTTTGTCAGAGTGAGGTACAATGGTGAGCCAGCCAATGTGACTACCGCTATGGTAAAGTTGCAGGTGGTAGGTAGGTAGGTAGGTAGGTGGTGGTGGTAGGTAGGTAGGTAGGTGGTAGGTAGGTAGGTAGGCGTGGTGGTAGGTAGGTAGGTAGGTGGTAGTAGGTGGTGGTGGTGGTGGTGGTGGTGGTGGTAGGGGTGGTGGTGGTGGTGGTAGGTGGTGGTGGTGGTGGTAGGTAGGTGGTGGTGGTGGTGGTGGGGTAGGTGGTGGGTGGTGGTGGTGGTGGTGGTGGTAGGTGGTGGTGGTGGTGGTGGTGGTGGTGGTGGTGGTAGGTGGTGCATTAGTAGTGGTGGTAATGGGTGGCAGTGTGGTTGGTCATGGATGGTATGTGGGTGCGGGTGGGGAGGGTGGGTGGGTGGGTGGTACAGGTCCGCCCACCGCATCCACATCATCATCATTTATTCCACATACTTGTTGACATCAAAACAAAACACCTCTTCCAAAATACTACTAGCAACAAAAACAACAACAGTAATAATACAAATAACAACAACAGTAATAATAAAAACAACAACAATTAAATATTTGAAAATTACGCCAAAATTTTCACGGCGACTTTTGTTCAGTGTTAATAAGACACCCAGGACAAAGATACGACTTCGATTCGCCTATTACAACATTTCTGTGGGACACCTGAGTGCATCTGTTGAGTGTGTTGACTGTGTGAGTGCATCTGTTGAGTGTGTTGACTGGTTGAGTGCATCTGTTGACTGTGTGAGTGCATCTGTTGAGTGTGTTGACTGTGTGAGTGCATCTGTTGAGTGTGTTGACTGTGTGCATCTGTTTGAGGGTGTTGACTGAGTGCATCTATTTGTCGAGGATGTTAAGTGAGTGCATACGGCGAAGGGGTTGACCGAGTACATCTACTTGAGTGCGTTGACTGAGTACATCTACTTGAGTGCGTTGACTGAGTACATCTACTTGAGTGCGTTGACTGAGTACATCTACTTGAGTGCGTTGACTGAGTACATCTACTTGAGTGCGTTGACTGAGTACATCTACTTGAGTGCGTTGACTGAGTACATCTACTTGAGTGCGTTGACTAAGTACATCTACTTGAGTGCGTTGACTGAGTACATCTACTTGAGTGCGTTGACTGAGTACATCTACTTGAGTGCGTTGACTGAGTACATCTCTCTGGGAAACACAGTGTTGTCCCCTCTATAACATTACAACCAACAGTAGCCTACAACCCTTTATCAGATATCTACAGAGTCCTTGATAAGAGTCCTTGATAAGAGTCCTTGATAAGAGTCCTTGATAAGAGTCCTGTAGGATTTGAATCAAGACAGTCAAAGGACTTTACCATCAGGAGAGACATTTACCGTTTTCCCTTTCCTCTCACTCCCTCCTTCAGGATACTACCTCACCCTTCAAGAAATTAACAGCCTTTTATAACCCAGGAAAAGGAAACTAATTGGAAAACAAAAGAGGAAGAATTCACAACCAGGAAAACTTAAAATTCCTTCAAAACAACACAAACAAATCAATGACCAAATAAGGTCAAATAAGGTCAAATAAGGTCAAATAAGGACAAATAAGGACAAATAAGGACAAAATTCACTCACCGTCGGGGAAAACATGGCGCATCTTGAGGTAGCTTGTAGTGAGGCGTATGATGGAAGCCTTGTCGAGCTGGGAGGTAATGGCGGCGGGAAGAGGTAAGAGTTTCGCCAGCTCTAAGAATTCAGCGTTTTCTTTCTCCCTTCTGCTTCTCGCCGCGTTCTTGCTCTTCTCCTTCATCCTGTTCCCTGGAGGAGGAGATAAATGAAAGGTGTGAGAGGTAGTAGATGTGATGATGGTGGAGATAGGAAGACGGTGTGTGTGTGTGTTATTTCTTATACCATCTCTCTCTCTCTCTCTCTCTCTCTCTCCCCCCACTCCCCGCGGCATCACCATTAATAAATTCACGGCACAATTCTTCCCTGTTTGTCGGTCATTATCACAATTTTCCTCTCACTTTCCCTCTCCGCCCCGGGCAAGGCACGAGGGGAGTGGGACAAGTGAGAGGGAGAGACGGAGGAGGGGAGAGGGGGTGGAGAGGGGGGGAGAGGAATGAAAAAAAAAAGTAGGATGAGTGGGTGACTAAAGTAAATGAGTGGAATAATAATAATAATGCTAATAATAATAATAATGATGATGATGATGATGATGATGATGATAATGATGATGATGATGATGATAATGATGATGATGATGATGATACACAAATATCATTACTCACAAAAACAAATGCAATCCAACGAAGGGAAAAATCGTTAATGGCGAATAACGAAATGTGTGTAAACCGAAGACCAGACTAATACAGTTGAGGGAAATTCGTTAACCTCGGGTCATAAAGTCTGGAACAACGAATTAACGAGCACACACACACACACACACACACACACACACACACACACACACACACACATCGTTAACCATGACAGCTAAACGAGGGGCTAACGTGAGGGGTAATTTAACGAGCTTAGCGTCCAATAGCGAATAATCTCACTTTGGTTATCTCCTCATCTCCCTCCTCCACAGTCCTTCACCCCCCTCCTCCCCCTCCACAGTCTTCTCCTACCCCCTTCCCATCCAGGTTAGGGTTTGTTAGGTTAGGTTATTTTTGGTTAGGGTAGTTATTATCCCCCACCTCATCATCCTCTGAGTTAGTTATGATCAAATTTCCTGTCTGTCTGCCTGCCTGTCTGTCTGCCTGCCTGTCTGTCTGTCTGTCTGTCTGTCTGTTAGCGAGGACAGCAGTATCAACCTATAGCACTATCTTACCCCCCAAGTATAGATAATCCTTTCATTCCATTCACAAGAAAAATAAACAGACAATATTCTACCATATCTGTTAGATATATACCACTGTCTTGACCCCACGGGGATAATGCCAACTAATCCTGTCAGCCCGTAGAGAAAAAGAGGCCATTATCGCCCTTATGTGTGTCTTTATACCTGTTTCCCCCGCCATAGGCTGGTAATAGGGGTTTAAGACACACATCTCACATCCTTGACCAATAGGGAGAGAAGGAGGAGGGGAGGGAGGGGGGAGGGAGGGAGGGAGGGAGGGAGGGAGGGAGGGAGGGAGGGGAGGGAGGAGAGGAGAGAGGGAGGGAAGGAGGGAGAGAGGGAGGGAGGAGGGAGGGAGGGAGGAGGGAGGGAGGGAGGGGGAGGGAGGGGGAGGAGGGAGGGAGGGAGGAGAGGAGGAGGGGAGGGAAGGAGGAGAGAGGGAGAAGGAGGGAGGGAGGGGGAGGGAGAGGGGAGGAGGAGGGAGAAGGAGAGAAGGAGAGAGGGAGGGAAGGAGAGAGAGAGGAGGGAAGGAGGGGGAGGGAGAGGGAGGAGGAGAAGGAGAGAGGGAGGGAAGGAGGGAGGGAGGGGGAGGAGAGACAGGTGAGCTGACCAGTGATGGATGACAGGATGGTCTGTCTGTGGTCCGTCTCTTCTGTGGTCAGTATAACATGTGACTCCTGTCTCACCGTAGTCTGTCTCACCGTAGTCTGTCTCACCGTAGTCTGTCTCACCGTAGTCTGTCTCACCGTAGTCTGTCTCACCGTATCTGTCTCACCGTAGTCTGTCTCACCGTAGTTCTGTCTCACCGTAGTTTGTCTCACCGTAGTCTGTCTCACCGTAGTCTGTCTCACCGTAGTCTGTCTCACCGTAGTCTGTCTCACCGTATGTCTGTCTCACCGTAGTCTGTCTCACCGTAGTCTGTCTCACCGTAGTCTGTTAATCTCCTATTGTGTGTCTGTGGATCTGTTCTCGTACGATCTGTCTGTCTGTCTGTACCTTACCCCTTCCCTTTCTTCCTACCTCCCTCCCTTACCCTCTTCTATCCCTTCTCTCCCCTATCCATCAACCTTCTCCCCTACTATCACCCAACCCATCAGCGTGGCCCCCCAGGTCGACCCTTGAGATTTCACACCTTCCACGATACCACAACAGACCTTCCTCCGTGTGTGTGTGTGTGTGTGTGTGTAGGGTGTGTGTGTGTGTGTGTGTCAACCTAAAATCTACTACCACACATACTCTTAACCACCCTATTTCCACCCATACCCACCCACACAACATGGCCAAAACACCCTTTCCCACCACCCACCCACCCACCCCTACCCACTCGCCCACCCCACCCACTCGCCCCACCCCACCCCACCCCTCCCACCCTCCTGGTTTCCGGAGACAAACAGAGCGCCTTCAGTACACGCCTCCATGCCACGCCCAGGGACTGTGTAGGTGCTAAATGGCTTTATACGTTATACCTGTAGGCGAACACCTTCTGCCGGAGGGGGGGTCCTCTCTCTCTCTCTCTCTCTCTCTCTCTCTCTCTCTCTCTCTCTCTCTCTCTCCGTCTTTTTCTCTCTCTTCTCCTCTTTTCTTCCTTTTTCTTCTTTCTCCCAATGTCTCTATGTGCGTATAGGAGTGTGTGTGTGTGTGTGTGTGTGTGTGTGTGTGTGTGTGTGTGTGTGTGTGTGTGTGTGTGTGTGTGTGTGTGTGTGTGTGTGTGTGTTGCCGCCTCCCCTTCTCACACGTCTTGACTAAACGTATTATCACTTATCTCTCCAGCCATCTGTTTACCAATCCATCTATCTTATCCATCTATCTTATCCATCTATCTATCTTATCTATCTATCTATCTATCTCTAACAAGTGGCCATAATCAGTGACCACCAACCACCACTATCACCACAACCACCATCACCACCACTATCACCACAACCACCATCACCACCACTATCATCACCATCTCGAGTAGGCCAACATCACCAACTTCACTATCTCCAACCACCTACCAGTATCATCACCACTACCAGCATCACCACTACCAGTATCATCACCACTACCAGCATCACCACAACCCATCCCCTGACTGAACTAATTGTCAACTCACCTTAACTAGTCACCTGATGTATTTAAACGTTCGTGGTGATGAGTGATAACGAACGAGACATAAACGAGACATTCCTGAGACATACACAGACCTCCCTCAGTGTGTGTGATATAAACGAGGCATTCCTGAGACATAAACAGACCTCCCTCAGTGTGTGTGATATAAACGAGACATTCCTGAGACATAAACAGACCTCCCTCAGTGTGTGTGAGATAAACGAGGCATTCCTGAGACATAAACAGACCTCCCTCAGTGTGTGTGATATAAACGAGACATTCCTGAGACATAAACAGACCTCCCTCAGTGTGTGTGATATAAACGAGGCATTCCTGAGACATAAACAGACCTCCCTCAGTGTGTGTGTGATATAAACAGAGACATTCCTGAGACATAAACAGACCTCCTCAGTGTGTGTGATATAAACGAGACATTCCTGAGACATAAACAGACCTCCCTCAGTGTGTGTGATATAAACGAGACATTCCTGAGACATAAACAGACCTCCCTCAGTGTGTGTGATATAAACGAGACATTCCTGAGACATAAACAGACCTCCCTCAGTGTGTGTGATATAAACAGACATTCCTGAGACATAAACAGACCTCCCTCAGTGTGTGTGATATAAACGAGGCATTCCTGAGACATAAACAGACCTCCCTCAGTGTGTGTGATATAAACGAGGCATTCCTGAGACATAAACAGACCTCCCTCAGTGTGTGTGATATAAACGAGACATAAACAAGATGAACGAGACACTATACCCCATGCTCTCGTTCCTTGTCTTACAGATCGTGTACATAAGACGAGTCACCTGAAGATTAACCCACCTTACGATAAACTACCCTACACCTAACCTAACCTAACCTAACCTAACCTAACCTACCCTACACCTAACTGCACCCCTACAACCTATACCTAACCTAACCTAACCAACCAAACTCCCACACCCAACACAACCCTAACCTACCCCTAACCCAACCCAACCCAACCCCTAACCTACCTAAACACCCACACCTAACCTAACCACCCTTACACCTAACCTAACTAACCTAACCCTAAACTACCCCTACACCCAACCAACCCAAACCAACCCTAACCTAACCTAACCTAAACTTCCACTACACCTAACCCCACCAACTACCCTACACCTAACCTAACCAACCCAACCTAACCCAACCTAACCTAACAACCCAACACAAGCACCAACAAACCTACACACCAACCTAACCTAAACTTACCCCTACACCCACACCCAACCTAAACTACCCCACACCCAACCTAACCAACACCCCTAACCCCAACACCAACACCAAACTACCCCTACACAACCTAACCTAACCTATTGCCCTAAGTAGCAGTGATAATAGTAATGACTAAATCCCCGCACTACAAAGACAATCCACCGATAAATGATTTACCTCTATTCCCCACACCTCCCACCCCTCCTCTCACCCACCCCACCACCCCCTCCCACCCCACCCCTCCCTCTACACCTCCCCACACCTCCCCCCCCCCCCGTCAGCCAGAGAAACACACACCAAACACGACCAACAACAGTAATTAGGAGAAGAGGTCAATAGACACAGGAACAGCCTGACTTTCTCCCCGTCTACACAAACCTACACACAGACACTTAAGACCCTCTGGCATAAAGGTGAATCTCGCGTGGTAACTCCCAGAGACCCAGCCGCCGGCCCTGCAGTACGCCACACGCCGCTTAATATCACCCCCCCATGTTCAATATCACCCCCATCATGTTTAATATCATCCCCCATGTTTAATATCATCCCCATCCCCCATGTTTAATATCACCCCCCATGTTTAATATCACTCCCCATGTTTAATATCATCCCCCATGTTCTAATATCATCCCCATGT